CCCGGACCCCGTACTCCCGGAGGACCCCCCAAAGGACACCCCGGGGAACGCGGTCGAACGCCTTCTCCAAATCCACAAAGCACATGTGGACAGGTTGGGCGAACTCCCATGAACCCTCGAGTATCCGATGGAGAGTATAGAGCTGGTCCAGTGTTCCGCGACCGGGACGAAAACCACACTGCTCCTCCTGAATCCGAGATTCGACCATCGGACGAAGCCTCCTCTCCAGTACCTTGGAGTAGACCTTACCGGGGAGGCTGAGGAGTGTGATCCCACGATAATTGGAACACACCCTCCGGTCCCCCTTCTTGTAGAGAGGGACCACCACCCCGGTCTGCCACTCCATTGGCACCGCCCCCGATCGCCACGCGATGTTGCAGAGACGTGTCAGCCAAGACAGTCCTACAACATCCAGAGACTTTAGATAGTCAGGACGGATCTCATCCACTCCCGGCGCCTTGCCACCATGGAGGCTGCCAACCACCTTGGTGACCTCGGCCAGGGAGATGGAAGTATCCGCCCCAACATCCTCAGCCTCTGCCTCCTGGACGGGGGACGTGACGGGGGGATTGAGGAGAACCTCGAAGTATTCCTTCCACCGCCCGACAATATCCCCAGTCGAGGTCAGCAGCCCTCCACCCGCACCATACACGGTGTTGGCAAAGAACTGCTTCCCCCTCCTGAGGCGCCGGACGGTTTGCCAGAACCTCTTCGAGGCCGACCGATAGTCATGCTCCATGGACTCTCCGAACTCCTCCCAGTCCCGGGTTTTTGCCTCTGCAACAGCCCGGGCCGCGGCACGTTTGGCCTGCCGGTACTGGACAGCTGCCTCAGGAGTCCCACGAACCATCATTGCTCGATAGGACTCCTTCTTCAGCCTGACGGCATCCCTTACTGCCGGTGTCCACCACCGGGTTCGGGGATTGCCGCCGGGACCAGCACCAGAGACCTTGCGACCACAGCTACGAGCCGCCGCATTGGCGATAGAGGAAGAGAACATGGTCCACTCGGACTCGATGTCCCCCTCCTCTGCCGGGACCTGGGAGAAGCTCTCCCGGAGGTGTGAGTTGAAAGTCCGTCTGACAGGGGGCTCAGCGAGACGTTCCCAGCAAACCCTCACTACACGCTTGGGCCTGCCAGGTCTGACCGGCCTCCTGCCCTGCCAGCGGATCCAACTCACGACCAGGTGATGATCGGTTGACAGCTCCGCCCCTCTCTTCACCCGAGTGTCCGAGACACGCGGTCGAAGGTCAGATGATACGACTACAAAGTCGATCATCGACCTCCGGCCTAGGGTGTCCTGGTGCCACGTGCACTGATGGACACCCTTGTGCTCGAACATGGTGTTCGTGATGGACAGGCCGTGACTGGCACAGAAGTCCAACAACTGAACACCGCTCGGGTTCAGATCAGGGGGGCCGCTCTTCCCGATCACCCCTCTCCAAGTGTCACTGGCATTTCCCACATGGGCGTTGAAGTCCCCCAGGAGAATAACGGAGTCCCCGGGCGGTGCACTGTCCAGTACCCCTCCCAAGGACTCCAAGAAGGCCGGGTACTCTGCACTACCGTTAGGCCCGTAGGCCGTCACAACAGTGAGAGACTTGTCCCCCACCCGGAGGCGGAGGGACGCGACCCTCTCATTCACCGGGGAGAACTCCAACACGTGGCGGCTGAGATGGGGGGCAATGAGTATGGCCACCCCAGCTCGCCGCCTCTCCCCGCGGGAAACACCAGAAAAGTGGAGCGTCCAACCCCTCTCAAGGAGTTGGGTTCCAGAGCCCAAGCTGTGTGTGGAGGTGAGGCCGACTATCTCTAGTCGGTATCGCTCAACCTCCCCCACAAGCTCGGGCTCCTTCCCCCCCAGTGAGGTGACGTTCCACGTCCCAAGAGCCAGATGTTGGGTGTGTGGACTGGGTCGTCGAGGTCTCCGCCTTCGACTGCTGCCCAGTCCTCTCTGCACCTCGCCACCACGGACCCCTCTGCAGGTGGTGAGCCCACAGGAGGACACACAATACACATACACATTATTTTTTTTTTTTTTGTAAAAGTGCCAGTTTAGAGAAAGTTAAGATTTCAACTTTAGTCCCTTGGTCAGGTGTGCAGATGCAAAAGCTATATTAGTAAACTACAATAAAACACTAGTGCTTTATGGTAATATCTAGAGCTCATAAAAAAAAACTAAAAAAAAACTATACTATTTTTTATTAGTACTAAATCTATTCTTTAAGAAAATAAGGAATTCAAGTTTTAAGGCTGATTATTTTGTAGGTGCGAGTCCCTGAAGCCTTTATTATATTGAGCTCCCAAGATATTCAAGATATTTAAAATTCTAAGAGTCAAGATATTTATAACTATAGAATATGATGATATGAGAATTCCTTTCATGATGTGAAGTGTGTAAATGTTGTTTGTTGGATTTCAGGTGGTAGCGGGAGGAGACCACACTGTGACCGGACCTTCTTCACAAGAGCAGGCACGGAGCCATATCAGCCAGCTCCATATTCACAGACGACACCGGGTACAAAGAATAAGGACTCTTTTGTACAATGCTGGTACAAGAAAAATATCAATGTAATAGTCACAGGGATAACAGTGGTTTGATACAAGCTCTGTTCAGATATTAACTTTTATTATTTCCTTATTTAATGTTCATTACGAAGGACATCTGAGAATCATTATTATACATTTCAACATTTTTTAAATTGTAGAAAGAAAAGACAGAAGTCCAACTGCTTCCTCGATCAAACCCCCTGTGAGTCATTTGACTTTTTTGACACAACCAGCAAGAAGGTCCTGGGTTCGAATCAAATATTTTTTTTACACACACACACAAGTCTGGTTACGCACGCACAAATCTTTTTACGTACACACAAATCTGGTTACACACACGCAAATCTGGATACACACACACAAATCTGGTTACTCACGCACAAATCTTTTTACGGACGCGCAAATCTTTTTACGCACACACAAATATTATTGAAACAATAATAGCTCTGTATAAAGATGATTTTAACGTAGCTACGTGTTTATTTTTGATTGTTGCGCAACTTGACTATTGACTCCGCTTGAGTTTTGAATTACTTGAGTAGAGATTTTAAAAAGTGATCTACATCATAGTATACCATGAATTACTTGAGTATATGTATTTAATGAATCAAATGTGAATTTAAACTTGTTTTGAAATGTAGGTTCCTAAATAGAAGAACCTGTACGATATTGATCAGCTATTTATTGGTTGATTTATGATTTGATTTTGGTTATAAATAATACAACTTTAACATATTTTACATAAAAGATGTACTTTTTTGTAACATTCACGTATGAAAATATGTTTCTACATTTGATCTATGTACATTCCACTTGTACATCATGTACATTTAGTTAGAACAATGTTTATTTTGTGTTTTTGATTTTTGACCTTTCCAGGTCAGGCTTTTGTTTTTACGTTGGATTATTGCAACGGCCATTCTTCGAGCGACCGCAATCACCTTCTGATGGCGAGCTATTATTCTACCTGAGCGGTAGGATCTTGAACACTTGAACCTTTCTGAATCCCAAAAAGGAACTCGAAGGACTTTAAAAGGATAAAAGGAACTTAAAATACAGTTATGAGCCATAACTGAGTTGAACTGTACGACCAAAGGACACTTTTTGTTTTTTGTGGTTTTCTTTTTGTATTATATTTCATTATATCCGCCCTATTTATAGTAATACATGTAAACAATATAATATCGTTATCGCATACCTCACCTATATCAATAGAATCAATACAATGTGGAAAATGTACTCAAAATGTACATTGCAAGACCACAAAGTACATTTTGAGTACATTTTCCACATTGTATGTTCTGTATTGTACTGGTAAGTTTAAAACCACACTACTTATTTGTATTTTATTTATTTTTGTATTTTGACATGTTGCACACTTTTGTCTTTTGCCCAAATCTGAGTGATTCTATCCATGCCAAATGTGACATGTAAATGTCTCCTGTGTGAGATCAATAAAGTCTCTTATCATATCTTATCTTATTTTATTGTGTGTGAATAGTTCAAATGTTATTTTACATTCAAATGTTCAAATATGATTTTATCTTATTATATATATGAATAATAACTAGTTTCATTATTATAGTTTCATTATTATCACCACTAGTATTAATATTATTACCTAATATTAGTAGAGCATTATGCTAACACTGTTAGTATCATGTCTAAATTACAAATGTAACAAAATACTTCCGATTACCAAAGGAAGCACGTTTATTTTGAAGGTGTCCACCTGAACCACAACAAAGAGCTTGACTCATGAAGTTGTTTTGGGACTCGTTAAAACAGAAATAAAACATGTCAGACACAATATTCAACTTTCTTTGCAGACAGTCGCCTGCCATAGCCCGGTCTTACACTCCACATCTGCCTCTCAGGAACCCTCCCACTATCAGTTTAATAAAGTCTGTTACTTGCATCTTTGGGTCTGCCATTCTGTTCGTCTTAACAATGGAGACTTTCTTTTCACTCCTGTATCAGTCGTTGAGGCAGACGGTGAATAAAGAGAGGATCTATGTGTATGATGTCGTTTCATGGTAATATCCAGAGACTCTATAAAGATGGACGATGCTAATCTGCTAGCTCAATGAAGCTCAATAAGGAAGTGCTCATGGATGAAGTTTTGCTTTTGACGTACTTTCAAAAGTGATCTCCTCGAGCTCAGAAGCGTTTGTGTCACACTCACCATTTTGGACTTTAAAAATCAATGGTTTATTCTCTCTGTGATCCTGGTGTTTATATTTTCAGTTGGATACTCAGCTTTAAGGATCAGATTGTTCTGATGAGGTCATTTTGACACAAACAAGAATAATTTACTGAGAAATGTTGGTATTTTAGTCGACTGTTTCCTTCTGGTTTCTGGTTCAGCGAGTGTGGTGTGAAAGGGAAGGAAACACAACACAAAAGTGTGATCAAAATGAAACTGTATCAAAAGAGACAAAGAGGTGAAGATGGACGCCTCTCTCTGCTCTCGCTGGTCCATCTGTGAGTACTTTTACTTCACAATTTAAGACTTTAAACTATTTAAACAGTAGACAACAATGTATATTTAAACTACTCTTTCATTGAAGGGTTTTGTGTCGTCTTCTGCAAAGTGACAACAGGTAATAATCTCTCTTTCATCTGGAATTTAGCATTTTTATTTCATGCTAGATTATATTAAGAGGTCATTTTCTGTAGATCGCGAGCATTTCCTGGAAAACTTTTTAAATAATGCATTTTCTGCACTGTAAAAAAAAGTTATCTAGAAAGAAATACTGTACAAATGTCTTGTCTTGATTGATGAATCAATGTTCAATGTTATGCTTAAACTGTTTATTAAATGCTTATAAATCCAACTTTGGGGAATTACAGTGAGTTGCATAAGTTTCCACACCTCTGTTGCCCTGCGAGGACCACAAACTTTATTATATTATCAAATACACTATTTATATTTAGTTGAAATGTCATGTGAAAGACACACACTAAGGAACATCATGAGGGATTTTATGAATACAAAACTGAAAAGGAAGATGTGCAAAAGTATCCACCCCCTGGCTGGTGATTTCTGAATGATCATATGTGTCAGAGTTTATAAGTTTAGAGAATATCAGGGAAGAGACAACATCTTGAAGCCCAGACGACAGACCAGTGTCCAGAGTGAGAGAGTCTGACACAGGAGCCTACAGCTGCAGAGCGGAGAGAGGACCACACACCACTGTGTGGAGCAGAACCACCAATGTCACTGTGCACAGTGAGTCTCTGTTTCAGAGACACATTTATGATGGTTTTATTTCTGTGGTTTTCTGGATTTATTGTTGTCCTTTCAGAAAGACCCTGCTCGGTCTTTGTGATTCGATCGTCTGATGTTCTCCCAGTGGGAGGCCGTGTGACTCTGACATGTGTAATACAGAGACCTTCTCCAGTCCATGAGGAATACAGATGGTTCAGAGGGAAAGAAGATCAACCTGAAGAACTGAGAGAAACCTCACAATCTATCAGCGTCTCCAGAGGAGGAGAGTACAGCTGCAGAGGACAAACTCAGTTTGGATTTACAGCTCGGAGCCTTCCAGTCTCCCTCAAAGAAACTGGTGAGTCCATAATGCATCACTGTCTCACTGGTCACTTTGTCCTACACCTGTGTCTCATACTCCATGACTGCAGTACTTGTACATGTGTCTCATACTCCATGACTGCAGTAGTTGTACATGTGTCTCATACTCCATGACTGCAGTACTTGTACATGTGTCTCATACTCCATGACTGCAGTACTTGTACATGTGCCTCATAATCCATGACTGCAGTACTTGTACATGTGTCTCATACTCCATGACTGCAGTACTGGTACAAGTGTCTAGTACTCTGTGTCTGCAGTACTTGTACATGTGTCTTGTACTCACAGTAGATGGTGTGTGTGTGTCCAGAGCTGGGCGTGGCCTCTCTGTCCCTGTGGCCCCCGTGGCCTCAGCTGTTCTCTGGAGAGCAGCTCTGTCTCTCCTGTAGAGCACACAGAGCAGATGCTGAGTGGATGTTTGAATGGAGCAGATCTGGACAGAGGCTGGACTTCACACAAAGTGAAGTGACCATAAGAAAAGCTGCAGTGAGGGACACAGGCTCCTACCGCTGCAGAGGAGTCCTGCCCCACACAGTCACTGAGTGGAGCCCCGTCATTTCTCTGAAAGTGTCTCAGAGTAAGTTTGTGACACAATGACATCAGACATGATCATATCAAATAAATACAAGATCCACTCCTCAGGACCTGCTGCTGTTGTGTCAGTGTCTGAGTCCTGGCTCAGACTTGGGCCTCTGTGTCTCTGAACTGCACTGTGACAGCGCCCTCTGCAGGATGGAGCTTTCACTGGTACAGGGCTGTTCCCCACTCAAAGTCTTTCACATATGAGCGGCTCCCAGGGGCCAGTGTGGGCCCTGAACACAACTCCTTCAGCCTCCAGGGCCTCAACCACTCAGCAGTGTTTGTGTGTCGAGCAACAAGAGGAAGTCCCGCCTTCTTCTCTGAATACAGCGACCCCTCCTTTGTTTGGTCTGAAGGTACAGCCTCATGTCTCTCTCTCTGAGCCTCATCTTTAGACAGAGTGTATTAAACCTGAGTTTGTTTAGACAGAGTGTATTAAATCTGACTTTCTTTAGACAGAGTGTATTAAACCTGAGTTTCTTTAGTTAGAGTGTATTAAACCTGACTTTCTTTAGACAGAGTGTATTAAACCTGAGTTTCTTTAGACAGAGTGTATTAAACCTGAGTTTATTTAGACAGAGTGTATTAAACCTGAGTTTCTTTAGACAGAGTGTATTAAACCTGAGTTTCTTTAGACAGAGTGTATTAAACCTGAGTTTCTTTAGACAGTGTATTAAACCTGAGTTTCTTTAGACAGAGTGTATTAAACCTGAGTTTCTTTAGACAGAGTGTATTAAACCTGAGTTTCTTTAGACAGAGTGTATTAAACCTGAGTTTCTTTAGACAGAGTGTATTAAACCTGAGTTTCTTTAGACAGAGTGTATTAAACCTGAGTTTCTTGATCCTGGTCCTTTCTCCTCAGATGCAGCGTCTACAGAGTCTCTGTCCGTCAGTCCTGACAGAACACAGCACTTCACTGATGACATCATCTCTCTGAGTTGTGGGTTCAACTCCACTGGAGCAGAATATAAAAGATATTGTGACAACAAACTCTCTGCACAAACATGCAGCTCAATGAGGAAAGATAAATGTGACTTTAGTTTACATGAGAAAACCAGTGCAGTGTTTTGGTGCGAGTCCAGAACTGGAGAAATGAGCAACGCCATCAACATCTCCGCTCACAGTGAGTTTGTTACAATCTGAGTTTGGACTTTTGTAAAATCCTGTTTGATTGTTTTGACTTCTCAGGTGACATCATCCTTGTGAGTCCTGTTGGTGCAGTGACTGAGGGACAGTCTGTCTCTCAGCTGCAAACTCAAAGAAGGGACTTTTACTTCAGTCATTTTTTATAAAGATGGAAAAATGGTTCAAAATGGGACAGAATCAGAGCTGAGCATCTCTGCAGCGTCCAGGTCTGATGAAGGGCTTTATAAATGTGAAGGACAATGGAAACCACGGCAACCATCAGCACCAAAGACTGGGATGTCTCCAGAGAGTTGGCTCTCTGTCCAAAGTCAGTACGAGCAGTTAAAATATACAATGTAATGAGTTTGCTCAGTTCTTTAATGACAAAGTCCAAGGTATCAAAAACAGCATCACCTCCACGATAGAAATAATAATCCAACCGCCAGTGAGGCTTTTTGGGCTGACGCACTTTACACCAGTACAAATTGAAACTGTCCAGGAGATAATCACTAGTCTGAGTTCCTCCACATGCAGCCTGGATGTATTACCTCCTAGATTTCTCAAGTCAGTTCTGAGCAGTCTTTTACCTTCACTTACATAAATAGTTAATATGTCTCTTGAATCTGGAACATTCCCAATGGCCTTGAAAACGGCGGTCATCAGGCCCCTCCTAAAAAAGAGGAGTCTGGAAGCCCTGGCACTCAAAAATTATCGGCCCATTTCAAATCTGCCTTTCATGGGAAAAATTCTAGAAAAAGTTGCCTATCAACAACTTACAGAATTTTTAATAATCAATAACGCTTTATGATATGTTCCAGTCAGGGTTTAGACCCCACCACAGCACTGAGACCGCGCTAATAAAGGTAACAAATGACATCAAACTAAACACTGACGCAGGAAAAGTCTCAGTCCTTTTTCTGTTAGATTTAAGTGCTGCTTTTGACACTATTGATCATGGCATCCTCATTCAGAGACTTGAGGACTGGGTTGGTGTTGCTGGCACCGCCCTAAGCTGGTTTAGGTCCTATTTACAAGACAGAAAGTTTTTTGTGGAGATCGAAAACTGTACCTCAGACCACTTGGCCCTGACCTGCGGAGTGCCACAGGGGTCAATCCTGGGTCCTCTTCTGTTTAATATTTACATGTTGCCTCTAGGTCAGTTGATTCACAGTAATAATGTCTCTTATCACAATTACGCTGACGATACTCAGGTCTATGTGTCCCTGACAGCAGGAGAGCATGAACCAGTGGACTCGCTCCTTCACTGTGTCCAGCAAATCGGTGATTGGATGCAAAATAACTTTCTCCAACTAAACACCGACAAAACTGAAATAATTGTTTTCGGACCCCAGAAACAAAGAGAGAGCGTTATTTGTCACCTCCAGGCTCTCGCTCTACAACCCTCAAATCAGGTCAGAAATCAGGAGTGATAATGGACTCAGACTTAAATTTCAAAAGCCACATAAAATCTGTAACATCAGCAGCTTATTACCACCTAAAAAACATTGCTAAAATTAAAAACATAGTGTCTAAGGCAGACTTGGAGACTCTTATACACGCATTTGTCTCCAGTCGGTTAGACTATTGCAATGGCTTGTTCACAGGTCTCTCCAAACAGGCTGTAAAACAGCTGCAGTACATTCAACATGCAGCAGCTCGAGTCCTGACCAGAACTAGGAAGTGCGACCACATTAGTCCAGTTCTCAGGTCTCTGCACTGGCTTCCTGTTCCTCAGAGAATAGACTTCAAAGCAGCTTTACTTGTGTACAAGTCTCTCCATGGTCTCGCGCCAAGGTACATCCACGACATGTTTGTGCCATATGAACCGACCCGGACTCTGAGGAGCACAGGGACTGGACTCCTGTTAGTGCCCAGAGTCGGTACTAGACATGGGCAAACTGCATTTCAGATTCATGCAGCTAGAGTCTGGAACCATCTTCCTGAGGATGTGAGACAGGCGTCTACTCTGGCATCTTTTAAATCTAGGCTCAAAACAATTTCTGTTTAGCTGCGCATATACAACTGAATGATTTTATCTTTTCATCTTTGTTTTTATCTTTAATCTTTTTAATGCACTGTGACTATTTATGATTTTAGTCCCATCTGTGATTTTAATGTTTAAAGGTTTTTAATTTTTGTGATTTTATTTTTAATGTTTTTAATATATCTTGTGCTCTTAATGTGTTTGATTTATGCATGATGTGATAGGGGATGTGAAGCGCTTTGCGTTGCCTTGTGTAGGAAAGGCGCTCTACAAATAAACGTTGATTGATTGATTGATTGAATGTACTTAAAAATAAAGATACATTTTAACTTCTTGCTTTATTCCAGCTGCCCCTGTGTCAAAAACAGGCCTCTCCTCTGTCCCTGTGATGTGGGTGGTGGGACCTGTGTGTTCTGTGGTTTCACTGATTCTGCTGCTGCTTCTGTGGAGCTGCACCAAAACAAAAGGTGATATTTCTGACTGTAATAATGCCTTTACACGGGTTGGTTTTAAGTTCATTCAGAAATGTTGACTTTTTCATTTACAGATATGTGCTTTCTGAGGTCAGTTAATTTTACAAAGCACAATTCTTACAAAAAAATATATATAAGATTTTTTTGATCATTGCTAGTTTTTGCAGGACTCAAACAACCAATCAGAGTTCATCTGAATATCATGTGACCAGCAACGACGTCACTACTGCTCCTAGTGCTCCTCCTACTGGTCAGTTTGTTTATTGGCCTTTAATGAGACTGGTTTTAGTGTAATGCACATTAAAAAACAGTGACTAATACTGCGATAACTTTTGCACGTATTTGTTTTTAATTTATTACACAAAAAGTAGGATTATTTATTGCCAGGTTTTCGAAAAGTTTCCACTTTTCAACAACATTGTTTTAAGATGTGAGATTCATGGTGCAATTTCTTTCAGACGTTACATATTCTGAGCTCGAACTCAAAAGCCTGCCCGGTTTGTTGTGCCTACACTGTATGTTGTTACACCCATTTAATGTTTTTTATGTATTCATTATTTTCTTATTAGCAATGAGAAATAATCCACAAAATGAGACACGCGTGTATTCCAGCGTGAACCTCCGCTCTTCAGGTAAAAGAATTCTTTACGTTTTTTTTTATTTGGGCAGAAATACTGTAGTTGCATTCGTACATCCATCATATTTTTGCCTAAAATCTATGTTTTGTGTTGTAGTATGTGTGTAGTGTAGATGCTAATTTTGAATATATAATAAACACTGCTGTTGTAGGTGAAGCTGTGACCTATGCCCAAGTAAACCGCCAAAAAAAGAAACTAAAGAAAGGTGAGAATTCCAAATATGAAACGCACATCTCTATTGAAGTACATATTGTCTGTCTCCAAGCACATTGTACTGTTATTTTCTGTCTTTTTTAACAGAAAGATCACATCCAACCTCTGTCTCTGAAATCGAACAGACTTACTGGTAATATATGTTTTTAATGCATGTATTATAGCACTTTGATGATATTTGAATTGGATGTATAGAGTGCTTTGCAAAAGTATTAATACCCTTTGAACCAAGATAACATAAGATAACCTTTGTTCACACTCAAACATATTTTGTCGTGTTAAGTTTTTCATATTACACTGAAAGACCACCATAAGGCTCAAAGCTAACACTGGTCATCACCCTCAGTGCAACATCCACAGCGTCCAACATGGGGGTGGTAGCATCCTGCTGTGGGAGGAGTATAAAAGTTGATGGGAAGGTGGATGGAGCAAAATAAAATGCAGGACAATCTTGGAAGTAAAACGGCTGGAGCTGAGGATTCCACAGAGTATTAACTAAAGCTGTATGAATACTTTTGCAAAACCTTTCAGTTGTTTACATGTGTGTATGTTTGGCCTCTGTCCTGTCATTATATTTACTGTAAAGTGAATAGAAGCGGACGTTTCAGCCCAAAGTCTCACTGGACTCTTTCTGACATATGCAAATGACATTGTGTTATCTGAGATGAAGAAAGCGTGCTGTGGTCTGAATTTGGTCACGACCTTCTACTTTTTTCCATCATGAAGCACAGAGTCTGAGCAGTGGAAACTAAAGCCCAGATTCACAGATGAAGTAAAAAAATTGGACCATCAGTTTTTGATATATATATATATATATTCTGTTGGACTTTTATCTTGTACAGTATTTTATAAATACACGCCTTCATTGTAAGTCGTTCTGTAAATCTGAATCTGAATCTGTAAATGAAGAAGTCACTCTGAGGTTGTTGTCCGATGTTTGACACATTTTGAGTGGAAGAGGAACGCTGTTTTCAGGATCTGAGTTTAGTTTGAATTGTTCCTCATTTTTGCATTCCCCCCTCTCTACATTTACATTTCCTTCATGTGGTCGTTACCGTAATTTGAACCATGAGTGAATGGTTTGTGTCTCTTCTCTCAAAAAGGGCCCTAGGTCCCTTTAAATGTCATCTTTACGTCTTTCCCAGAGATCACAGTTAGATGTATCTTTGAAACTAAAACTGGCAGTTTTACAGAAATGTTCATTAATGATCATTGTGTCTGTTCAAATAAAGAACATGAATAACATAAATCTCATATTTAGAATCAACATTCAAGTTTAGAGATTCAAACCACAAAAATCAATACATAATAAAAAATAATAATAATAATAGTACTACACTTTTCTCGTGCATGTGTTTTTGTTTTAACTTCTCGTTTTCAGAAGGAAACTTGCTCAGCCAATCAGCTCTTAGCCTCAAACTGTGACTCACAGGGTTCTTTCTTAAAAACATGCTATGTTTTCTAACAAGACTAGTGGTGCTTTCAGACCGCCAACGCTGAAATGTACGTTCTCAGCTGGGGCGATTCCACTTCTGACCCATTCAGGGTTAGCAACGGGGTGCGTCAGGGTGGAATTTTGTCTCCTCTTTTGTTTAATGTCTATATTGATGACCTGTCTCTGCAGCTAAATCAGTGTAAAACTGGATGTATGGTTGGCAGTCACCTGTGTAACCATTTAATGTATGCAGATGACCTTGTACTGTTGTGTCCTCACAGTCCAGGCCTACAGCAGCTGTTATATATTTGTTCCCAATATGGCATAGAGCATGACATAAAGTACAATGCCTCTAAAAGTCAAATTATGATTGTAAAAACAAAAGAGGACAAAAAACTAGTGTTTCCTGACTTCCTTCTATGTGGTGACACCCTCCAAGCCACAGAGGAGGTAAAGTATCTTGGACACTACATCACTTCTGACCTCTCTGACGACAGAGACTTGTATCGACAGCAGTGTGAACTTTACACCAGGCTACTATGCTCGCTCGGAAGTTTCACATGTGCTCTACAGATGTTAAAGTTCATATTTATAAGGCTTTCTGTTCGCCCTTGTATACTGCACAGCTCTGGCGTAGATATAAAAAAAATGTGGCTCACAATGACTCTCTGAGGATCCTGCTGAAAGTGCCCAGGTTTTGTAGCACCAGTGAAATGTTTGTAAATTGTGGTGCGAGGTCATGTGTTGTCTCCATCAGATATTGTATTTACTCTTTTATGTGCAGAGCCTTGAGTCTGTCAAACCAGATCATCCAAGCTCTGGTCTGTCCCAGGAGGAGCTCTGTTAGGTTCTCCTCTGACTTATGGAGGCATTGGAGGTCCTGCCTGTACACCTGTTTTTAGTTTTTATTGTATACGTATGTTTTTTTTTATTTTTTTTATCTATGAACCAGTTTTCTCTCTGTGTTCTTAATAAAGAATTAATTGAAATTGAATTGAATTGAATAAGTATTATTTATTAAACATAAAAAGTGAGCTTTAAATCACTTTATTAATACAGTTTTAAATTAATAGAGTTTTTTAACTTTGCTTTTGTTCATTTTGTCAATATAATCATTCAGCATTTATATAGAATGCTATTAGCATGCTGAAATGCTACTTTATTGTTTTTTTTTACTTTGATTTATGTATATATCATTGTTTTCTTAATTGTTTGTATTCATTTTAATTGTTATCATTGTGTCTTAATGTTTTGAATATTCAAGTATGTTATTTTTGTGTCCGTGCAGCACTTTGGAAACTTGTGCTATATAAATAAAGTGGATTGGATTACAAAGTATGAATCATTTATTGTACATTTTAGCCTAAATGATTAAATGTGTGTTGAACAAAAGTATCTGTGACATGAAATACATGTTGTTTTTATTACACACGTCAGAAACAAGAAGGGTGTGGTGTCATGTTTTCACTTCCTCCTCCAGACGACACTCACTGAAGGTTTCACTCTTAGTGCTCTTCATCATCATCTGAGGCTCTTCATCATCATCTGAGGCTCTTAATCATCAGCTGAGGCTCTTAATCATCAGCTGAGGCTCTTCATCATCATCTGAGGCTCTTCATCATCATCTGAGGCTCTTAATAATCAGCTGAGGCTCTTAATCATCAGCTGAGGCTCTTCACCATCAGCTGAGGCTCTTCATCATCAGCTGAGGCTCTTCATCATCATCTGAGGCTCTTCATCATCAGCTGAGGCCACGAATACAACATCCTACATACTTGCATGTGAAAGCCAGTTATACCAAGGGCATAATACTACAGTATCTCACAAAGAGACAAGAGAGAGAGAGAAAGAGAGAGAGAGACAAGAGGGAGAGAGGGACCAGAGAGAGACAAGAGAGAGACGGAGACCAGAGAGAGAGAGACTAGAGAGAGAGACCAGAGAGAGACCACCAGAAAGAGACTGGAGCTAGAGACCAGAGAGAGAACAGGGAGAGAGAGAAGAGAGAGAGACCAGAGAAAGAGAGAGACCAGAGAGAGAGAGACAAGAGAGAGAGAGACCAGAGAGAGAGGGACAAGAGAGAGAGAAACCAGAGAGAGAGAAGAGAGAGAGAGAAAACAGAAAGAGAAAACAGAAAGAGAGAGGAGGACCAGAGAGAGACTATAGAGAGACCAGAGAGAAACCAGAAAGAGACTGGAGATAGAGACCAGAGAGAGACTAGAGAGAGACCAGAGAGAGACTATAGAGAGAGGGACCAGAGAGAGAGAGAAATGAGAAAGGGTCAAATAAACAATGACTACTACTTCAACTGCTTTCAGAATCTTTGTGTCCTGGTTCTGTGCTATTTTTATTGTGATACAAAAAGTCTGATTGTAGTTGAAAATAAAGACAATATTGACAATGATAGAAGTAGTTTTCGGAGTATGGTATGAACGAATGAATCAGTGTGAAGTAGGATTGCTGTAAAAACTGAGTGAGGAAAGGACTGAAACACTTTGACAAATTTTATTTTTTTTTGCGTCCCCAAAAAGAGAGCGTTCATTGGAAACGAGTGGGTGCTGAGGTCTGAGAGCACATTTATCTGCAGACTTGGTGAAGTATTGTTGGCAGATGAGTTTCGCTCTGTGGGTTTTCAGCTCTGAACTTACTGGATGTATTTTCACTTCACCTCTGAGGACATTACCAGGAACTTGTGTTACTGTAAAAAAAATAATAATAAAACAGCAGCGGTGGGCAGAGCTGCAGGAGAGATGCTGCTGTTGAGCCATAAAGTGCTGTGATTCTTTTACAGTGTGGACTTTTGAGGAACTTACTGAATCAGAACCACTAAAAGAGGAGAAACAATCACGTTTATATTTATGCTTCACTTTAGGTTTTATTTTCTGTCTCTACCAATTGTAAATGTATCAATAATGAGATCCAAAAAGTTTCTCTCATCTCAGATTATCTTACATTTCACCCACAATCAACCCCAAAGGTAAACAATGCCCACCATTTTCTGATAAAAACAGGGAATTCTAAATTATTTGAACAAAAAAAGGTCTTTGCAGCAAGATTTGGATCCTTTATATACCTGTTCAGTTCTATTCGGGATACAAAAAAGTAAAGATTCATTTGCCTAATTCTAAGTAATTACCAAGTCTGACTTTTCTGACAAATACATTGCTTTGCCAAAGGATAATTACAGCTTGAACCTTCGCATAATTCATCACGTTATGCCTTTCAACTAGAACTGATTTTTTGTTTTACTGAAAAATCATCATAGTAATTTATCTGACTTCATTAAAGCCTTTGAAAAACATACTCTCAGCATAACGACAGCTCTATTGGTCACTAAACAACATCATGAAGTCCAATGAGCATCCTAAGGAGGTCAAGGGGGAGGTTGTAGAGAGGTTTTAAGCAGTGAGAACGTACAAAAAGATTTCCCAAACTTTGAACCTCTCACAGAGCACAGTTGAATCCATTCATCTATTGAAATGTAAAGAATATGGCCCCACTGTAAATTTACCAATACACGGCGATCTGCCCAAACTAAGCCGAAACGAGGAGAGCACTGATCCCGAAATGCACCCCTGTGTCTCAGGACGACTCTGGACCATCAAGTTCAAGTCAAATTCATACTTTTGCAAGACTTTATTCTATTCTATTTTCAACCATGGCTTAAATGTGGTCTTAAATGTGGGAGGGTGGGGGCGGGGGGACAGTGCTCTACTACTACTACTACTACATAGAAGCCTGTCTCACATTCTCAGGAAGACGGTTCTAGATTTTAGCTGCATACATCTGAAACGCCGCCTCCCCATGTTTAGTCCTGACTCTGGGACCAGTCCCTGTGCTCCTCGGTCCCTGTGCTCCTCGGTCCCTGTGGGTTCATATGGCACTAACATGTGGCAGATGGACTTTGGTTCGAGGTCATGGATGTTGCAGCTCATCCCTCAGCTCCTCCTGTTCAACCCCTCCCCTCCTGTTTCCTCCCTTCCTGAGACACCTCGTTACCCGCACCTGTGGAGCTACACACCTGCACCAATCAGCTTCATTCAAAAGCCATGCAGACCTGCTCTCCAGCGCCAGATCATTCCGTCACGAGAAGTGGTGCTTACGCTCAGCCTTTTTTGACTACTTGTTAACTTACCTGATCCTGTACTTACCCGTGTTTTGTTTTGGTTTTTCCTCGTGTTCTCCAGTGTCCACGGTGTGTCCAGCTCCATTTCCCATCATCCTCAGCCTGCCATAGCCCGGTCTTACTCTCCACATCTGCCTCTCAGGAACCCTCCCACTATCAGTTTAATAAAGTCTGTTACCTGCATCTTTGGGTCTGCCATTCTGTTCGTCTTAACAATGGAGACTTTCTTTTCACTCCTGTATCAGTCGTTGAGGCAGACGGTGAACAAAGAGATGATCTATGTGTATGATGTCGTTTCATGGTAATATCCAGAGACTCTATAAAGATGGACGATGCTAATCTGCTAGCTCAATGAAGCTCAATAAGGAAGTGCTCATGGATGAAGTTTTGCTTTTGACGTACTTTCAAAAGTGATCTCCTCGAGCTCAGAAGCGTTTGTGTCACACTCACCATTTTGGACTTTAAAAATCAGTGGTTTATTCTCTCTGTGATCCTGGTGTTTATATTTTCAGTTGGATACTCAGCTTTAAGGATCAGATTGTTCTGATGAGGTCAACTTGACACAAGCAAGAATATTTTACTGAGAAATGTTGGTATTTTAGTCGACTGTTTCCTTCTGGTTTCTGGTTCAGCGAGTGTGGTGTGAAAGGGAAGGAAACACAACACAAAAGTGATCAAAAATTAAACTGTATCAAAAGAGACAAAGAGGAGGAGATGGACGCCTCTCTCTGCTCTCGCTGGTCCATCTGTGAGTACTTTTACTTCACAATTTAAGACTTTAAACTATTTAAACAATAGACAACAATGTATATTTAAACTACTCTTTTATTGAAGGGTTTTGTGTCGTCTTCTGCAAAGTGACAACAGGTAATAATCTCTCTTTCATCTGGAATTTAGCATTTTTATTTCATGCTAGATTAGATTAAGAGGTCATTTTCTGTAGATCGCAAGCATTTCCTGGAAGACTTCTAAAATAATGCATTTCCTACACTGTAAAAAATGTATCTAGAAAGAATTACTGTACAAATGTCTTGTCTTGATTGATGAATTAGATAAAGTAATTTTAAGAGATTTGTCCTTAATGTAAAAGATAAATTCACATATTTCATTTTATTAATTTTCATCTATTTCCTTGATTCCAGAGTCTGTTCAATGTTATGCTTAAACTATTTATGAAATGCTTATAAATCCAACTTTGGGGAATTACAGTGAGTTGCATAAGTTTCCACACCTCTTTTGCCCTGCGAGGACCACAAACTTTATTATATTATCAAATATACTATTTACATTTAGTTGAAATGTCATGTGAAAGACACACACTAAGGAACATCATGAAGGGATTTTATGAATACAAAACTGAAAAGGAAGATGTGCAAAAGTATCCACCCCCTGGCTGATGATTTCTGAATGATTATATGTGTCAGATTTTATAAGTTTAGAGAATATCAGGGAAGAGACAACATCTTGAAGCCCAGACGACAGACCAGGCAGCTCTGGAATAAGGCTGTGGAGAAGTATAAAGTTAGATTAAACTATTGAAATATTTCTAAAGATTTCAACAACCTCTGACATATTTAAATCATCTGTTGAATACACTGTCAAAATAATAAAGCATCACTGCAAACCTACCAACACACGGCTCTCAGCCTGAACTTCCTGACCGAACAAGGAGAGGACTGATCAGAGCTGTATGTAGCCACAAAGCCCATGAGGACCTTGGATCTACTGCAGAGGCCACAGCTGAGGTGGGGAACCCGTCCACAGGTCAACGATTACTCCTACACTGCACACATCTGGCATTTACAGAAGAGTGGCTATAATTCCTACAAGACAATGACCCTTTACATATCGTCAGGGCAACAATGAAATGTAGAAAACCAAAATCCTGTGTGTCTGACTCTGACACTGATCCTTGTTATTTCTCGGTCTCTTTCTCCACAGGTGACGGGGCGACTCTGTTCACTCCTGACCACACTGTGTATCTGGGAGACACTGTACGTCTGAAATGTGCAGGAGGTTATGGAGAAATACTGCATTTATACAAAAATCAGATTCTTGTTCAAGGAGATACACACACTTATCATCCAGACAATAATCAAAAGTCTGCTTTCTGTGACATTCATATAAAATCCAAATCTGATGGGGGTTTGTTCTCGTGCGGGGCCAGTGAGGAAACACAATCTGGTGTGAAAGAACTTAGAGTCATAGGTAAGAGAAGCACATGAACTCTATTTAACTCAATACTATTTTAAATCTTATTCTGTAAATATACAACCAACGTTGGGTTTGTGTAATAGTTCTTTCTTTTGTTTTTCACAGAGAAGTCACGCAGTGTTGAACTGACCGTGGTCAACACTCTAGTGGAGGACAGAGTGACACTGGGCTGTAGTGTAGAGGACTGGAAGGAGAACGTCCAGTGGTTTTTCAGAAACAGATCTTCTTATCCTTATTCTGAGCTGAATAATGACAAAAGTGTCCTGACTGTGTCTCGTGGAGGAGTGTACTCATGCAGAGGAGCAGGTTATCGTTTATTCACAGGAGAAAGCAAGGAAATTGCAGTTGAATCGTTTGGTGAGTTGTTAAACTGTTTTTAATCAACAGATGAACAATAACATTAACATATAACTAGGGCTGGGACTCGATAAAAAAAAAATCTAATTAATTAGAAGCTCTGTGATTAATTAATCGCAATTAATCACATTTTAATCACATATAAATGTTTGTCCTGAGAACAATAAGAAGTATTTCTTTTTTCACATGGATTTTTAGTTTACCATTGAATAATGACGGAATACATAAGCTTAAGCAACACATGTTCATTGAGGATGATCAGACAGACTTTTTTCCCATCAAATAATGTTTCTGTCATTGCCTCCACACACTCTGACAACAGCAGACGCTTTTGATAACCAAAATCCACTGCACTAACAGTGAGCACTAAGGCCCTGTCCACACGAAGTCAAGCTCAGGCCTAAACGCAAAAATACTTTATCAATCCAGTGTATCGTCCATACGAGGCCGGCGTTTTGGGGGGGTGTAAACGAACATTTTTGAAAGTAGGTCCCAGAGTGGAAAGATTTCAAAACTCCGTATATGCCGCTCCGTGGTTACTGCCTCTCCGCAATGTATCTGAGACGCTTGCGTCATCGCCCCGCCTGTTGTTAAAGCACGCATGCGCCGCACTCAGAAAATAATGACAACAACAATGTAGCTTGTTGGTTTTGTAATCCAGTGCGACCCGAAGCAACAGTTCAACCTCATCGTCCGTCCATACTAATGTAGTACCAGCTCGCCCACTCGCCATGTTGTCTGTTTACAAAATTCTGCGCATGCCCAGTTCTCGTCACGGAAGTTTGGGCTTGATCCCGTCATTGCGTCACAGCGCCACCAACAGGTCTGGCATAGTTTCACAGCGTTTTCAGGCGTATTGACTACATTCATATGGACGCACACATTTACTGAGCTAACTCCGTGTTTACAGAAAAAGTTTCTGAAATTATAAACGTTTTGTCTTCGTGTGGATATAGCCTAAATCTTCTAACACGTTTTTGATGTGTGCATTCGAACTAAAACATCAGCAATAGCAGCTCACACACCTGTGTCGCTGCCATAGCTGCTCCTCCTCCACCGCCTCCTCCTCCTCCTCCTCCTCCTCCTCCTCCACCGCCTCCGCCTCCTCCTCCTCCTCCTCCTCCACCGCCTCCGCCTCCTTCTCCTTCTACGAGGAGTTGCTTGCTCCTCCTCCTCCTCACACACACAGACCATCGCTCCACACACAGCGCTCGATCCTGTCTCTAACTCACTCACTCAGACCGTTAAAGTTGGTCCGTGCTTGTTATAATGTACTTTTGAACAAGAAAAGTCACGGAGCTCAGTTGGCGCTCCAGTATAATCAGTCCGTCTGAAACTCATCCTCCAGTGAGGAACGTTCCGCGGTGGAAAAAACACATGCGATTAAAATGCGTTAATTTTTTTTGACGCACTAATTTTTGTGGCGTTAATTAATCGTAATTAACGCGTTAAAGTCCCGGCGCTATATTTAACATTATATTAAAACTTACTTAATATGCAGATGTGAACATATGTTTTATCTCTAGTCCCCAGGGTGGGTCCCAGTCTGTTACAGGTTTGTCTCGGGGACAGTCTGACCCTCAGGTGTAATGTGGGGTCTGGAGTCAACACAGACTGGACCTTTCACTGGAGCAGAAAAAGACTGAACTTTAGCCCAACGACCAGAGACTGGACAGTGTCCAGAGAGACCAGAGACTGGACAGTGTCCAGAGTGAGAGAGTCTGACACAGGAGCCTACAGCTGCAGAGCGGAGAGAGGACCACACACCACTGTGTGGAGCAGAACCACCAATGTCATTGTGCACAGTGAGTCTCTGTTTCAGAGACACATTTATGATGGTTTTATTTCTGTGGTTTTCTGGATTTATTGTTGTCCTTTCAGAAAGACCCTGCTCGGTCTTTGTGATTCGATCGTCTGAAGTTCTCCCAGTGGGAGGCCGTGTGACTCTGACATGTGTAATACAGAGACCTTCTCCAGTCCATGAGGAATACAGATGGTTCAGAGGGAAAGAAGATCAACCTGAAGAACTGAGAGAAACCTCACAATCTATCAGCGTCTCCAGAGGAGGAGAGTACAGCTGCAGAGGACAAACTCAGTTTGGATTTATAGCTCGGAGCCTTCCAGTCTCCCTCAAAGAAACTGGTGAGTCCATAATGCATCACTGACTCACTGGTCACTTTGTCCTACACCTGTGTCTCATACTCCGTGACTGCAGTACTTGTACATGTGCCTCATACTCCATGACTGCAGTACTTGTACATGTGTCTTATACTCCATGACTGCAGTACTTGTACATGTGTCTCATACTCCATGACTGCAGTACTTGTACATGTGTCTCATACTCCATGACTGCAGTACTTGTACATGTGTCTCATACTCCATGACTACAGTACTTGTACATGTGTCTCATACTCCATGTCTGCAGTACTTGTACATGTGTCTTGTACTCACAGTAGATGGTGTGTGTGTGTCCAGAGCTGGGCGTGGCCTCTCTGTCCCTGTGGCCCCCGTGGCCTCAGCTGTTCTCTGGAGAGCAGCTCTGTCTCTTCTGTAGAGCACACAGAGCAGATGCTGAGTGGATGTTTGAATGGAGCAGATCTGGACAGAGGCTGGACTTCACACAAAGTGAAGTGACCATAAGAAAAGCTGCAGTGAGGGACACAGGCTCCTACCGCTGCAGAGGAGTCCTGCCCCACACAGTCACTGAGTGGAGCCCCGTCATTTCTCTGAAAGTGTCTCAGAGTAAGTTTGTGACACAATGACATCAGACATGATCATATCAAATAAATACAAGATCCACTCCTCAGGACCTGCTGCTGTTGTGTCAGTGTTTGAGTCCTGGCTCAGGCCTGGGGCCTCTGTGTCTCTGAACTGCACTGTGACAGCGCCCTCTGCAGGATGGATCTTTCACTGGTACAGGGCTGTTCCCCACTCAAAGTCTTTCACATATGAGCGGCTCCCAGGGGCCAGTGTGGGCCCTGAACACAACTCCTTCAGCCTCCAGGGCCTCAACCACTCAGCAGCGTTTGTGTGTCGAGCGACAAGAGGAAGTCCCGCCTTCTTCTCTGAATACAGCGACCCCTCCTTTGTTTGGTCTGAAGGTACAGCCTCATGTCTCTCTCTCTGAGCCTCATCTTTAGAGTGTATCAAACCTGAGTTTGTTTAGACAGAGTGTATTAAACCTGAGTTTGTTTAGACAGAGTGTATTAAACCTGAGTTTGTTTAGACAGAGTGTATTAAACCTGAGTTTCTTTAGATGGAGTGTATTAAACCTGAGTTTCTTTAGAAAGAGTGTATTAAACCTGAGTTTCTTTAGACAGAGTGTATTAAACCTGAGTTTCTTTAGACAGAGTGTATTAAACCTGAGTTTCTTGATCCTGGTCCTTTCTCCTCAGATGCAGCGTCTACAGAGTCTCTGTCCGTCAGTCCTGACAGAACACAGCACTTCACTGATGACATCATCTCTCTGAGTTGTGGGTTCAACTCCACTGGAGCAGAATATGAAAGATATTCTGACAACAAACTCTCTGCACAAACATGCAGATCAATGAGGAAAGATAAATGTGACTTTAGTTTACATGAGAAAACCAGTGCAGTGTTTTGGTGCGAGTCCAGAACTGGAGAAATGAGCAACGCCATCAACATCTCCGCTCACAGTGAGTTTGTTACAATCTGAGTTTGGACTTTTATAAAATCCTGTTTGATTGTTTTGACTTCTCAGGTGCATCATCCTTGTGAGTCCTGTTGGTGCAGTGACTGAGGGACAGTCTGTGTCTCTCAGCTGCAAACTCAAAGAAGGGACTTTTACTTCAGTCGTTTTTTATAAAGATGGAAAAATGGTTCAAAATGGGACAGAATCAGAGCTGAGCATCTCTGCAGCGTCCAGGTCTGATGAAGGCCTTTATAAATGTGAAGGACAATGGAAACCATGGCAACCATCAGCACCAAAGACTGGGATGTCTCCAGAGAGTTGGCTTTCTGTTAAAAGTAGTTAAAAAACATGCACTCAATAATAGAAAAGATACAAAAATATAAAAGAATTTATACAAATGTTTTCACAGATGCCTCCAAAAGCAGTATCTCCTCTGTCCCTGTGATGTGGGTGGTGGGACCTGTGTGTTCTGTGGTGTTACTGATTCTGCTGCTGCTTCTGTGGAGCTGCACCAAAACAAAAGGTGATATTTCTGACTGTAATAATGCCTTTACACGGGTTGGTTTTAAGTTCATTCAGAAATGTTGACTTTTTCATTTACAGATACGTGCTTTCTGAGGTCAGTTCATTTTACAAAGCACAATTCTTACAATAAAAACATAAACATATTACATTTTTTTGATCATTGCTATTTTTTGCAGGACTCAAACAACCAATCAGAGTTCATCTGAATATCATGTGACCAGCAACGACGTCACTACTGCTTCTAGTGCTTTTCCTACTGGTCAGTTTGTTTATTGGCCTAAAGAAGACAATGAGACTGGTTTTAGTGTAATGCACATTACAAACAGTGACTAAAACTGTGATAGCTTTGCTCATAATTGTTTTGAATTTACACAAAATGAAAAAAGGAGGATTATTAATCCCCAGATTTTCAAATTATTTCACTTCCACAAAAACAGCATTGTTTTAAGATGTGAGATTCATGGTGCAATTTCTTTCAGACGTTACATATTCTGAGCTCGAACTCAAAAGCCTGCCCGGTAAGTTTGTTGTGCCTACACTGTATGTTGTTACACCCATTTAATGTTTTTTATGTATTCATTATTTTCTTATTAGCGATGAGAAATACTCCACAAAATGAGACGTGCGTGTATTCCAGTGTGAACCTCCGCTCTTCAGGTAAAATAATATCTTCTTTCATTTCTGTTTTTTTATCTTCTTTTCTTTAATTTGGGCAGAAATACTGTAGTTGCATTCGTACATTCATCATATTTTTGCCTCAAATCTATGTTGTGTGTTGTAGTATGTGTGTAGTGTAGATGCTAATTTTGAATATATAATAAACACTGCTGTTTCAGGTAAAGATGTGACGTATGCCCAAGTAAACCGCCAAAAAAAGAAACTAACGAAAGGTGAGAATTCCAAATATGAAACGTACATCTCTATTGAAGTACATATTGTCTGTCTCCAAACACATTGTAGTTTCAGATGTATAACTTAAAATGGTACTGTTATTTTCTGTCTTTTTTAACAGAAAGATCACATCCAACCTCTGTCTCTGAAATCGAACAGACTTACTGGTAATATGTTTTTAATGCATGTATTATAGCACTTTGATGATATTTGAATTGGATGTATAGAGTGCTTTACAAAAGTATTAACACACTTTGAACGAAGATAACATAAGATAACCTTTGTTCACACTCAAACATATTTTGTCGTGTTACAGCCACAAACATAAAGATTACGTTTTTCATATTACACTGAAAGACCACCATAAGGCTCAAAGCTAACACTGGTCATCACCCTCAGTGCTCCATCCCCAGCATCCAACATGGGGGTGGTAGCATCATGCTGTGGGAGGAGTAAAAAAGTTGATGGGAAGGTGGATGGACCAAAATAAAATGCAGGACAATCTTGGAAGTAAAACGGCTGGAGCTGAGGATTCCACAGAGTATTAACTAATGCTGTATGAATACTTTTGCAAAACCTTTCAGTTGTTTACATGTGTGTATGTTTGGCCTCTGTCCTGTCATTATATTTACTGTAAAGTGAATAGAAGCGGACGTGTCAGCCCAAAGTCTCACTGGGCTCTTTCTGACAAGTATGCAAATGACATTGTGTTATCTGAGATGAAGAAAGCGTGCTGTGGTCTGAATTTGGTCACGAGATTCTATTTTTTTCCATCATGAAGCACAGAGTCTGAGCAGTGGAAACTAAAGCCCAGATTCACAGATGAAGTTAAAACATTTGACCATCCATTTGGAATATATATGTATACATATATACACACCTTATTCAAAGAGTTTTATTTTTATTTTCCAGATTATGAAAATTTTAGATTCACACTGAAGGCATCAAAACTATGAATTAACTCATGTAACTATGTACGTACGTACTAAAAAATATGTACTGTAAAATATGACTGTCTTGGCATTCTCTTGATGAGCTTCAAGAGGACCTGAAATGGTCTGAGTCCCCACAGATTAGCTCTTGTTGGTCCTTTCGCCTTCACTCTGTGGGTCCAGCTCACCTCAAAACTATCTGGATTGGGTTCAGGTCCGGACTGTGGAAGCCAGGTCATCTGGACCAGCACCCACCACTCTCCTTATTGGTCAAACAGCCCTTACACAGCCTGGGTGTGAATCTACAGTCAATAGTCATGAAAGGACACTCATTGAATGAGAAAGTGTGTCCAAACTTTTTGTCTGTACTGTACATGCATGAAGTTGGTCAGTAGAATGAACTTTAAAACATAAGAATATTGTGGAGGGTTTGAAAATCTACTTTTAAATAATGACCTGGGAAAACCTTTCTTTCAACAATTGCTTCTTTTTGTTTCATTCTTTCGTTATGCTGGCCCCTGCCCTCCAACTGAAATAGAATGATAGAATATAATGCAAACCATAGTGAGATGTCTTTCATCTGTGCCAAAACGCCTGCATAAGAGTCAATAATGAGGTTTTACAAGTAACGCTTTGTCTTACACACATTAATCATTCTAATCAAAACTCTGAAATGAGAAAGAAAAACAATTATTACACAGTAGAACTTTCCTCATGTCCATATGAAGAAGGTAGAGAGAGTACAGAAGAGGCACAGACAGGACTGTGGACTTAAAATATGACTATTACTATGACTATCTGACTATGACTATTTATGGAAACAAGTGTCAATTATAATCAAATATATCTGGTGTTGTAAATGTTTATTCTGACTGTGAATTGAGTTGAATCATTTGAAATTCTGTAAAAGAAAGAAAATGTAAAAAGGGGTAGGAAACATACTCCTACCTAGCCTGGTCTTACCACACCATGTGACAGATTTCATTTCATACTAAGGTCTGGATTGAGCTCCGTTAACAGGTGGGAGGGGTTAACTACTTTTGCATATTGAAACGATTGGATCTGAGTTTACCGTGATGTATGTAATGCACCCGAGTGAGTCGCTAGCATTTAGCATTTAGCCTAGCTTTAGCCATCTCCTTTGCCACTAACGGAGCCCGTCGGGAGTAGAGCCACAACATCTTTGTCAGCAATGAAATCTGCTAAACATTCCTCTTGCTCCGGCTTCAATTTCTTGACATTTGGAGCCGAACTAGAACAAATTGGTCGGATGGGATACAACCGAGGCAACTACAGACACTGGGACTAGACCCAGACGTACATGTAGGAAATAATAATGGACCAGAGTTTACCGATGGCTAAGACCAGGCTAACTACAACCTACTCCTTTTTTATTTTATACATATACTGTATACATATATGTTTTGTTTTATTGTATTGTACAATGAATAATTCATATTTCGAAATAAAGACTAAAAACAACAATAACTGGACTATTCCTTTAAAGAATAAACTACAGTATTAAGACTCCATCCTCTGCTTCTGTTGGACTTTTATCTTGTACAGTATGTTAGAAATACACGCCTTCATTGTAAGTCGTTTGAATCTGTAAATGAAGAAGTCACTCTGAGGTAGTTGTCCGATGTTTGACACATTTTGAGTGGAAGAGGAACGCTGTTTTCAGGATCTGAGTTTAGTTTGAATTGTTCCTCATTTTTGCATTCCCCCCTCTCTACATTTACATTTCCTTCATGTGGTCGTTACCGGAGTTTGAACCATGAGTGAATGATTTGTGTCTCTTCTCTTTAAAACCACAGTCTTTAGCTGTGACCTTTTTACAATTTTCCATCTAGGTCCCTTTAAATGTCATCTTTACGTCTTTCCCAGAGATCACAGTTAGATGTATCTTTGAAACTAACACTGGCAGTTTTACAGAAATGTTCATTAATGTGCATTTGTCTGTTCAAATAAACATGAAAAACATAAATCTTATTTAGATCTTTATTTTTTAATCTAAATCTTTATTTAGAATAAACATTAAAGCTTAGAGTTTCAAACCACAAAAATGAATACATAAATATGAATAATAAAAATAATAATAGTATCGTACAATATTATAATAATGAATTGTTAATGAATGATGTGTCAGAAAATTCTATGCAGTGACATCTGATAATAATGTTTGATGAACTCTAAATTAATAGTTCCTCGCTCTCAAATAACTTCTATAACTACTTTTCTCGTGCATGTGTTTTTGTTTTAACTTCTCTTTTTCAGAAAGAAACTTGCTCAGCCAATCAGCCTAAAACTGTGACTCACGGAGCTCTTTCTTAAAAATATACAAAAGTTACTAGGACTGCATGAAGTGGTCTGATTTTTACTTTTTACAAAACTCTTTCTGTTTAGAGGAAAACAATAAGCAACTGGAAGTAACACTCCTACTTTCAAATTAGTTTTAGTCTAATAAGTCCTTAAGTGGTGACTGGTTAAGTTTTAGGCGTCTGAGTAAGATGGTTAAGGTTAGGGTTAGATGGGTTGGGGTTATTTTATGGGAATGGCTGGTTAAGTTTAGGCATGAATAGGTAGTTTGTTATATTTACTTCCGTGTATGATCTAGTGCTGACCGTTGTAATAGGGCTGGAAAGTCTCGTCCCAGAAGCACTTCCGGTTCTTTGC